TCTTGCTCTTGGCAGTTGAGAGCATTAAATCATGTTGCGCAGGAGCTGTCTTCTCGTTCGTCGTAAATCGTCGCTGTCATTTTGTCACAACAACTTCTCCAAGGTTGATAACAATTTGATTCATTCCATTTGGTCCATATGCTGTACGAGTGGTTTGGCAAGCTCCTTGCAAGCTTGTAATTTCTATACCAGCCTCTTTCTAATCCTGAAAAGTTTTCGCTCCCTCCTTGAGCATCTGGGAAGCCCCGAGCCTTGGCCTCCCAAAGTGCTGAGATTATAGGCGTGAACCACCACGCCTGGCCAGGTCCACCTCTTGAGTCACACAGATCTACTTCCCCAGACAGGTTCAAGAGACAACTCCTCCAAGCTTCCTACCAGTCTCTGTTCCTGAACGGAAACTTAGAAGAAGTTAACTGTGGACAAACAAACTGTAGTCACTGTCAATGCTGCAGATCTTAGGGCTGCAACTAGCACCCATCCACTCCTTCCTTTACCATGTATTCGAATCTCCCTTCACCCTCAGGTCTTAGTTGCTTATTCTTATTTACCCTCTCACCAATTCTGAGAGGTTAAGCCCTCGGTAATCATATTTTTCTCAGGCTGAGGTGGTTACGCACGTACATTCACAGTTAAAATGGAGCATGGAAGTACCAGAAAGCGCCCAAGTAGATTACTTGGATTCTACATAAATTCTTTTCTGCCTCTATTGGGTAAAAGCAGCCATACCTCACTCCTGCTAATCAGGGTTACTTAGCCTCGACAGTATGGCAACTTCTCGTCATGTCTGCTGGTCCCTAGACAGAAGAAATCCAAAGTGTCCTGGGAAAAGCTGTAGCTTGTAGTTCAGTGAGACCTTTCTGTGTAACTTGACAAGGGTGCATCTTCTTTGGGGGCCAGGACCTTTGACCTTGCAGACCCCAGAGTTACAGAAATGAAAGCATGACATATCTGAGTGGGTCAATCAGAGAGATGGTAAGTGGAGCTACTCCTGCTTCTACTCCTTGGTTCCTGGATCCATGTATTCTTCCTATTGGGAACACAGTACCCTTTACAGGCCTCTGATTTAATAAATACGCTGCATCCAGAAGAATGATACCCCATACTTTCATAATGTTGCGTCTTAGCTGCTGCTTCAGCTGTGTCTTGGAAAGTCAGTTTCTCTTCTTTCCTCCCTCCCTCCTTTCTTCTCTCTCTTTTCCCTTCCTTCCTTCCTTTCCTCATTTCTCTTTTTCTTTCTCTTTCTTCCTCCCTCCCTCCCTCCCTTCCTTTCTTTCCTTAAGCTGGAATGGCTTGCACCTTCCTTTTCCCACATAAACACCAATGGACTCTTCCCATTAGTCCTCTAGTTTCTTCCAGAGGTAGGTGAAATTATTGAAGACTTCAGCAGAAATTAGGGAAGATCTTCTGAACTGTGATTAAATGGAGTGTGATCATTTACCTAATTATCCTTGGTTATCACCTTCTGTGATGGTGATTTTACTTATTAAGCAGCAGAGCCATCTGGTGAAGACCTGCATTACTTTTCAATCTTATGTTTGCCTTTTGTGTTTCCCAGATTTGATAGATGGTTTGTCCTCATGATCTACTGATGCAGACTACATGGAGGTCCCAATGTCCTGGTGCCCAAAGGCAAGATCATTTCTTCCCCTGCAGTGTTTCTGTTTATCATGGTGATGTGAATGGGCTCTTATTGGGGGTGCCTAATGCTGCAATAAAGAAAGGGTTTTCTCGGCCGGGCGCGGTGGCTTACGCCTGTAATCCCAACACTTTGGGAGGCCCAGGCAGGCAGATCATGAGGTCAAGAGATCAAGACCATCCTGGCCAACATGGTGAAACTTTGTCTCTACTAAAAATACAAAAATTAGCTGGGTGTGGTGGTGTGCACCTGTTGTCCCAGCTACTCAGGAGGCTGAGGCAGGAGAATCACTTGAACCTGGGAAGTGGAGGCTGCAGTGAGCCGAGACTGTGCCACTGCACTCCAACCTGGTGACAGAGTGAGACTCCGTCTCAAAGGAAAAAAAAAGAAAAGACTTTGTCTTCTGAATTAAGCTGTATCCCTCTGATCTAGTCAGGGAAATAGGCAATCTTTATTTCTATGGCTCATAGATATTGGTATCACTGGTTATCACTTGTGATAAGTAAGCAACATCCGTCCTTCATAGATTTATAGCTCAGTGTTTGGCATATGCCCTATAATTATTATCACAAGCAAGGTGTGCAGAGGCAAAATTTTCTAGGATGCAAGCACCCATCTGTTTGTTCACCTCTCCCTATATCGCAGTTAGCATAGTGCTTGTCATATCAAAGGCACTCAGAAATATTAATTAAATAAATATTAGTGATAGAAGAATGTCTTTCTATTGCCTTCATATATGAATAAAAAGTTGGCCAGGTGCGGTGGCTCACGCCTGTAATCCCAGCACTTTGGGAGGGTAAGGCGAGTGGATCACTTAAGTCCAGGAATTTGAGACCAGTCTGAGCAACATGGTGAAACCCCATCTCTACAAAATATACAAAAATTAGCTGGGCGTGGTGGCACATGCCTGTAGTCCCGACTACTCAGGAGGCTGAGGTGGGAGGATTGCTTGAGCGTAGGAGGTGGAGGTTGCAGTGAGCCGAGGTTGGGCCGCTGCACTCCAGCCTCAGAGACAGAGCCAGACCCTGTCTCAAAAAAAAAAAAAAAAAAAGTTAACTAGATAAAACATCCTTTGTTTCTGGGTGTCCAAAGAGTTGTTTTTATTATTTCATTGAAATGTTGTGGATTAATATAGTCTATATTCCTGTATTAGTGGCCTGCTATTACTACATAAAAACATTCAGAATGCCTTCTCTTTTGTTGTATTTTAGACATTTTTCAAAAGCCTAGGTTTTTGTGTTACTTTTGCTTATGCTGGGACTCTGTGATCTCCACCTGTTTCTAAAACCAGCTCCCTATCTCGTGCCAAAGAATGTTCCCTTTGTTCTTTGACTTTTGATTCTATGTCTTGTGTTTTAATGTTCAGTTTGGGAATCTCAGTATATTTTAGGTTGATTCCCTGGAATTCAAGTGAGATGCATTTTTTTCCTTTTTTTGAGAAATTAATTAACAACTTATTCTAATATGTGGATGTTTAAGTTCCTGGAATTTGACTGAGCTTTGTAATGTGTACTTTCTACAATGTGGAAAGAAGGAGTTATAAAAGTACGTATATGGCCAGGCACAGTGGCTCATGCTTCTAATCCCAGCATTTTAGGAGGCTGAGGTGGGTGGATCATTTGAGGTCAGGAGTTTGAGACCAGCCTGGCTTACATGATGAAATCCCATCTGTACTAAAAATACAAAAATAAGCCAGGCATGGTGGCAGGTGCCTGTAATCCCAGCTACTCGGGAGGCTGAGGCAGGAGAATCGCTTCAACCCAGGAGGTGGGGGTTGCAGTGACTTGAGATTGTGCCGTTGCACTCCAGCCTGGGCAATAGAGCAAAACTCCATCTCAAAAAGAATATATGTGTGTGTGTCTGTGTGTGTGTGTGTGTGTGTGTGTGTGTATATTCTCAAAAAGAAAAAAATATATATATATTTCAAAATAGCAATTGTTTTACCTTTCAAGATAGTAGATCCTATTAATAAATTTGGAGAACAACTAGGTATTCAACAAGTAGACATTGTGCATTTCTACTTAATGGACATGTATTGCCAGAATGCCATTGAACATGATCCTGGTCTTAAAGTAGTGGTTGTCCAAGAAAGGAGTATGAGGCTGAGAAAATTCTCTTAGAGTGACAGAGAATTGCTAGACTGAACAAGTTGATTTAGAATAGATTGCTATACATTTCTCTTATGGCTTTCAAGGATTCAGCAGGCCATTCTGCATGAAAACATATGCATCTGCATGAAAACATTTACAATTTGGCATGTTTTTGCAGTGGCTGGTACTGGTTGTTCCTTTCCATGTTTAGTGCTTCCTTCAAGAGCTCTCGTAAGGCAGGCCTGGTGGTGACAAAATCTCTCAGCATTTGCTTGGCTGTAAAGGATTGTCTTTCTCCTTCACTTAGGAAGCTTAGGAAGATCTACAAGAAAACATGTGTTTCATTTTGAGTGATAACCCAAGGTTAAACCAAAAACCCTTAGGTTCAAGATTTTAAAGTATGGGCCATACCTCTTAAGAAAATATTTATGATGCATATACACTTGATTAATGCAACATTTACATTTGTTTCTGTCAATAAGCTAGCGGGAGCAAGCTAATGTGTAGGGTAATAGGGACAGACATACACCAACTTAAGAGGAACAACCAGTGTCTTACTGTCAGGTTGCCACTGATGCCCAGCTAGTCCCTCAGTGACCCCCACCTGCAAGCTTTTCTTCCTTATTTCTGCATAAGGAGGCTAAAG